TTGAGGTGGTTTATCATGTCAAAAACAGCCTTGAATGAATTGAAACACATCATAACCATTTCAGATTCTGCATCATATTCCAATATCCCTTTAGATTTAATTTGTCTTCATGATCAATTTTTTTTAGAATTGAGCTTCTTGTATCTTCTCTTGTTTGAAGGCGTAGTCATAAACTTATAATAACTCCTGCCCCAGCAAAACAGTCATGTCAACTAGTCTTGTGCAACCTCTTAATTTGAATGGTGCTGTCTATATATACAAGCCCTATACCTAACTTTACTCGTTCTGGTGGTGCTGTGTATTAAGCAAGCTGTCCATTAGACTGAGCTAGAGTAGCTTGTATTTGTATTTTATTATTTTAATTAATCATGAGTTTGAAATGGCCTAGTTTAGTATGAATTTGTGATTATTGTCTTTGAACAGATTTATATCCAGGATGTGTCCTATTCAAAAGCAGAGCTCAAGCTTCCAAGTATACCAGGATCACCAATTATTGATCCACGTCTATCGCCAGATGGGTCAATGATTGCCTATGTACAGGACTGTGAATTGTTTGTTCTGAATCTGTTGTCTAATGAATCAAAGCAGTTGAGCCAAGGTGCCAAGGAAAATGGTTTGGTGAGTTCTATAGTTGCTTGATCTCTATTGTATCAGAGTAACTGTGTTCCAGATTCTACAAAATAATAATAATAACGCTATGGATAATTCTTTCATTTTTCCAGATTAGGATATCCAAAATGTGAACAATCTACTTTGAAGTAGCCATTCCTGTCCTGTTTCACCTTTGTCATTAGTGTTTAAATTCTATTAACAAGCCTTCTTTTTCTTTTTGCATTATGAAGGCACTATTAGTAAGCATTGTAATGGTTGTTATCCTCGTTGATCATACAAATTTGCAAGTCCAGTGGTGGTTTTTTTCATGCCCACCATGTAGTACACTGGCTGGCTGACTTCAATGATATTTCTTTGCTAATTTATTTATTTATTTACTCACAATTACAAAGATAGGATGATATATTGAGAAGTGTTAAAGTCAAAACACTCAAGCCCATTGATGTGTTTTGGGTTGTTATTGCTGGTTTCTGATCATTCATAAAACTGCGTTCAGTTATTAGATTGCTAGGTAGTTGAATCTACTTTTTCTAGCGTTTTTGCATTCTCGACCTTTAAAAATGACTCTTGTTTTTTTGTGCATCGCAGACTCATGGCCTTGCTGAATATATAGCTCAGGTGAGATTCCACTTGTATTAATGTCATCTTTATGGACGTCTTCAAATGAAAATTGTGCAGATTGTCCCATTTGTACTAAGCAACCCTGTCCTTCCATACTTTTGGGTGACGTAAGTGAAATAATGACTTGATTCTAAAATGATTAATTGTTCCCCTTTTGCTGACTGCAGGAGGAGATGGACAGGAAAACTGGATATTGGTGGTCACTAGACAGTAAATATATAGCTTTCACTGAAGTTGATTCTTCTGAAATACCACTTTTTAGAATCATGCACCAAGGCAAAAGCTCAGTTGGTTCAGAGGCACAGGAAGACCATCCATATCCTTTTGCAGGAGCTTCAAATGTTAAAGTTCGTCTTGGTGTTGTTTCGGTAGCTGGAGGATCCACTACTTGGATGAATCTTGTCTGTGGGGGAACAGATCAGCGAAATAATGAGGAAGAATATTTGGCAAGAGTCAATTGGATGCACGGGAACGTTCTCACAGCCCAGGTCTTGAATAGGCACCAAACAAAAATGGTGATCCTTAAATTTGATATTAGAACTGGCCAGAGGAAAACTCTATTGGTGGAAGAAAACAGCACATGGGTCAACGTACATGACTGTTTCACCCCTCTTGATAAAGGAGTTACCAAGTTTTCTGGAGGATTTATTTGGGCTAGTGAGAAAACAGGATTTAGACACCTTTATCTTCACGATGCAAATGGGTATTGTTTAGGACCCATTACTGAAGGTGAATGGATGGTTGAGCAAATAGCCGGTGTAAATGAGGCTACAGGTCTAGTATATTTCACTGGGACCCTCGATGGGCCTTTGGAGTCTAACTTATACTGTGCTAAACTTGCCGTAGATGGATGTCAACCACTGCATGCCCCTGTTAGACTTACTCATAGCAAGGGAAAGCACATTGTGGTCCTTGATCATCGTATGCAAAATTTTGTTGATATTCACGATGCACTCAATTGTCCTCCTAGGGTGTTACTTTGCTCATTGAACAATGGAAGCATAATCAAGCCCTTGTATGAGCAGCCATTTGCAATGCCAAGATTCAAAAGGCTTCAACTCAAGCCACCGGAACTGGTGGAAATCCAGGCTAAAGATGGCACCCCATTATATGGGGCCCTATATGTGCCGGATGCGTCAAGATTTGGACCTCCACCTTACAGAACTATGATCCAAGTTTATGGGGGTCCAAGTGTGCAGCTTGTTTCTAATTCTTGGATCGGTACAGTTGACATGAGAGCACAATATTTGCGAAATCAAGGCATCTTAGTTTGGAAGGTTAGAATGCTGAAACCTGAATTGCTTTGACTTAAATATGGTCCAATTTAAGCTCGTTTTATTTATTTATTTATTTACTTCTGGCAAGTTTGTTCACCTTGTTTTATAAATGTTATGTCGCTTATTCTTAGTTGTCTTGCTCATTATTCTACCGCTTGATGGAACTTTTCCAAGATGGACTTAGGCACACTAAATTGATTGTCTAACGATTTATCTTTCGGATACTAAAACATCCAGCATTGATGATTCCGATCTAGAAAATAGAGTCAATCTTGCGTTAGACATTTTTGTCTTTGTGATCAATGGTTGTTGTAGTGTTCTACTGTACAAAAGTCCTTCCTGTCATTGGTGATTCTGATTAGAATTGTTTCACACGTTATTTAATCATGGAGAATGAAAATTCTTATTTCTACGTCTCATTTCTTATCAATCCGTGAGTACATACATGATCGGTAGGAACTCTTAAAAGGAATATGTACTTTTCTTGTTTATAGTTGGATAACAGAGGCACGGCTAGACGGGGGTTGACGTTTGAAGGCTGTATAAAGCACTGTCTTGGTCAAATCGATACTGATGATCAGTTAAGTGGAGCTGAATGGCTCGTCAAACAAGGGCTTGCAAAAGTTGGCCACATAGGCTTGTACGGGTGGAGCTACGGCGGGTATCTGTCTGCAATGACCCTGTCGAGATTTCCAGATTTCTTCAAGTGTGCGGTGGCCGGCGCCCCTGTGACGTCATGGGATGGGTATGACACATTTTACACAGAGAAGTACATGGGACTGCCGTCTGAAAATCAAGCAGGCTATGAAAGCGGTGCTGTGACGCACCACGTGCACAAGATGAAAGGGCGCTTGTTGCTTGTGCATGGGATGATCGACGAGAATGTACATTTTCGGCACACTGCCAGGCTTGTCAATGCACTCATTGCGGCTGGAAAGCCTTACGAGCTAATGATTTTTCCGGACGAGCGTCACTTGCCCAGACGTCATAGAGATCGAATTTATATGGAACAGCGGATCTGGGACTTTATAGACAATAATCTGTAGGACAAGAGCTTGTGTATGTTTCATCTCTGTTCTGTTCACGCGGCCCCATTAGATTCCGTTCATTATAATTCAAGAAATATTTCTTCTTGCCTGATTATGGTTTACCTCTGTAATTAGCACATTGCATTTTGTTGGTTGTGAAGCCTTTAGCCAATTCCGTTAGACTATGTCCCAAAAATAAGGGTTTTAAAACATCAGATATTATGTTTCTGTGTCAGTTTATTTTGAGTCCGGCTGAAACTTTGCCCAAGTTTTTTAATTCGACATTCTTTTAAATACTGACCTATAAAGGATGATGGACCATACCCATTGTGGATGAGCTTGTTTAACTAGCATTTGTTCTTTAACCTGGAGTTAAGCCAGCAAATGACAAACACTTCTTCCCCTAACGAATAGTGATGAAAACGATAAGAATGAGAAGCTGTTCCAATTCCATCGGGGAAGGTGTCATCGGCGCTATAGCCACAAAATGAAATTCAAGGGAAATGATGCCTATCAGACTAGGCTTTCGATTAATTCAGAAAATTACATTTCAAGTGTGCCGACATTAATGAATTTTTGAAGAAATTGGAAGCCTGTAGGCAGAGCGGGGAGAGGCAGCTGGTACTGGTACAGGATTATGAATCGAGCTGCCACCAGAAGGCATCTGGCAGACAGATGGTGAGTCCCCTAATGTTATAATGGTTCAATAATGGAAGACACTTCCCAAGTCACAAACTGCTTCCCCCCCCCCCCCCCCCGGGCTATTGTCCCTTTGTTAAATGGGGTAAAGCATGAGAGAGAAATTCAGGATTCATAAGAAGAAATACCAAACTATTAATTGAGGTTAGATATGAAAAAATGTAATGTTTTTTTTTTCAAATTTAATTAACTTAGCCAATTCACTTGATGTATATATGAATTAAGTATCAATCTCTCACGTGATAAATGTAGAAATTAAATAACTAATTTACAAATATTAAATAAATTGTTTCTCTAAAATATCCTATTTAATCATCTACATGGGAAACTATTATCTATTGATGGAAACTCTCATTAATATTTACTATCAACAGAAACAGTTTGAGAAAAATATTATAAATTTGGAGAACAAGGTAGATTAAAATCTTATGTTTAGGACAAAAGCAAACCGCTTGACTTTTTTCCTTGTATTTTGAAATAGAAGGTGGTATATAAAACCAATAATGCCCATTAAAACACATGAACAGAAGTCTTATATTTGAGAGCGAAGTGACGTCCTAATAATATCAAAATTTCTCAATTTAGTTCTGACGGGTACGATTAATAATATACTACTCTATATTAAATTGATAAATTTATGAATGATAAAGTTTAAAATATTTTATTTATAAGCGATGAAATTCGAGAGATAAATTAATGAATAATTTAATTGCTCATGGAATGGAATTTGATTGACTGTAGAAACGATGCCAGCGAAGCTGGGGCCCTTGCCGAGCTGCTCTTGCAGGTCAAGACCAACCGATCACGCCATTAGCGCTCATTAATCTGAACTTCAAAAGTGGGCCGCGCAACCCACGTGGTGTGAGTCAAATGAGACGAACAAGTCGCCATGCTCAGATTATAATATTGCCATTTTTTTTTTTAACTCCTCCTCCGTGCTTATTCGTCATATAGAGTACATAACATCTCGGTCATATCATGCCAAAATTACCAGACCTATCTCCGTTTACAGCATATTTATTCTCGTATCATTCAAAAAAATAATGACTAGACCCGAAATGCTATATTAAGTACATCTAAAAATTATAATTCTAAGAAAATAGACTTGTTGCCAACGAGAGTGCTTGGACCGAGGCATGAAACCAAACCTTTGTTACGTTGGATTTAAGTGGATAGCCCAGCCAAAAATGCCACTCCCGTTGACGGCAGCCACGACGAACCAGATATGAATTCCGCCACCGTGAACCGTCTTGCCTCCACGGGTGACGTGATGACCCGATATCCGGGCCATGTGACCCGTTTTCCAATGGCCGCACCCGGGCCATGATTCATGTACTCGCCGTAGTACAATGTGTCCAAAGCAAATGATGCGTCCCACTCCAGCCATCCTCTCGGATGTATGTGATCGTCCATGAATGACTGCATGTACACGGTTCTAGAGTATAATTTCCATGGACGGCCAAGATAGGTGTAGATGTTTCCCTTTTCCGGCTCGAGGTCCGGGGCCGGAAGGATCTGACAGTCGTGGATGGATATCCCCGTGTTCTGATTCGGGTCTTTTCGGTTCTGGGCTGTGACGGTGTTCTTTTGTTGGGCCATCGGCTTCCGAGCATAAAGGCTGCAGTTTTGGAAAACGACAGCCGCATTTCCAAAAATAAAGTCAACTGTACCGTAGATGTTACATTCGCGGAAGAACTGACGGTTGGAGTGAACATAACACGTGTCCTGGTATCCCAGGACCTCGCAGCGGTGGACCACCGCGTGGTCTGCTCCGACGCGGAGGGCAACCGCTTGGTGCTTGCTCGGACCAGCGTAGTTTTCGAATGTTATGTCTCGTGCGATGAAACCGGCACCAGTTGCAGCTGCAGCAAGACAGGTTAAATTAAATTACAGGGTCGTACTAAGAACGAGAAATTAGGACGGGGGAAGTTTTTGTTGAAACGTTAAAGATGGATGAATCGACGTTTTTGGTTGAATGACCCACCACCTAGAATTTTGCTTTAGTACTTCAGTTGGGTGCCCTTGGGCAAAGTTCTTGGCACTACATGATCGCTTCCTTTAGAATATGGTAGGGATATGTGCTCTGGAGATAAGGTCGGGGAGTGGATGATATGTTTTTGTCTTTTTGATCAATCAAAGCAGAGAATGCGTAAGATTCCAAAGTGTGCATTAAACTAACTGACGCAGAATTAGGTTATAGACTAATACAAGTTATATAGTGGCTCTCTATCCATGTTGCGTAACATCCCAATAAACATCACCTTGCCACTCGAGGTGTTAGTAAAAATACAAAACGGAATTATTAATCAATATTGATCTCTTAATTTATGTTTTCATTTGGAAGTGACAAGGACCTGAATCATGTGACAAGCGGGGTCCGACGTTATGCTTTTATCTCTAAGTTTAAAGAAACTTTTGAGCACCGACACTACGGTTTAGGTAAGAAGTTGGTTATTGAACAGGGTAGAAACACGGGGGGCATTGATCTGAGCGATCGATTTTGACTTGGATGAGGTAAATCGGTAATGCGATGCGAGTATAAGACAGAGAGCTAGTGGGTGAGCTAGCGTTGAATTACGACAGCCTCGCTCGTTACGATGGTATGGCGTCAATATAATTTATACTCCCTCCGGTTTAATTCACCTTTTAAACAGTGAGTCATTTTAAAAGTTATTAAATTGACAGTGATATTTTGTTTTAAATAAAATGTCTAAATTATTTTTAAAAAGTAAAAGAGAGAGAGAGAAAAATAATATTATATAATTTATTTACTTTTTGAGAGTTATATTTATAATTTTATTAAATTTTATGCTTTGTATTTTTTATTGTATTATTAGTGATAAAATTAATAGAATGACTTCTAAAAAAAAACGGAGGAAGTATGTTATTGGATACTGTTTTTTACGTATGTGTCAATCTCCTGAACAGT